TTCTTGCTTTGGGAAAGACTGAATGCAGTAAATGTGCCACATTGTTAACACTGAGGTAAATGTTTACAAGACGTTCTTGTTTCAAGAAGTCAACAACAGGACGTTTTCCCCATTTACCGGTAAAAAGTCTCCGACATGTGGAGACTCGTTTTGACTTTTTAAAAAGCTTCTCTCTCACACTTCTGACTTTTTGAGTTTACATCTCACAGTTCAGACTTCTTCCCCCTCAGAATTCTGAATTTACATCTCGCAATTCAGGGTTTTTTTGGAATTCCAATTTATATCTCACAATTCTGAATTTCTCTCAGAATTCTATTTTTCCGTTTTTGCCACACAATTAAAAAAATTGAAAAAGGTAACTGACTTTTTATCTCACACTTCTCAATTTTGTCTTGCAGTTTTCAAGTTTATATCCCACAATTTTGACTTTGCTTCTCAGAATTGCAAGAAAACCGTTTGAATTGTGAGATATAAACACAATTTTTATTTTTTAGATCCGTGGCAGAAATATGCTTCCAAACCGACATTTAACTTGCCATTTGCAAAGAAATTCAGAGTCATCCGTTAAACACATGACGACGGCAGAGTTCATAGCTTGAACCCTCTAATGTTTTCAGCTCGTCTAGTGTTCCTCAGTTCAGAAAAATATCAACAGACATCGAGTTTTTTTTTTTATTCTAGAAAGATAGTAAAATAATTGGCTTGTATTTGAAGAAGTCTTATGTTGTTTTCGCTCTAGTCGGAACATAAAAAGGTTGATATTCCAACGTCCTGTATGTTCTTCAAATCTTTTAACAACAATTCTTTACCAGTTTGACGAAGACTGAATGCTTATACTAGTTGGAAACTCATAATTATAGTAATTCCAACAATAGAATCAGTTCTGGAGTCCTAAAGCAGAGCTAGAACTTCATCTGAAGGTACTGCACCATCTTGTGCAATGCATATACTGTACACACTGTACTGTACACTAAGGCGCTTTGTGTACCAGTGACCCCGGTTTACAGCTTTGAATGGACAATCCTCCAGAGATCTTTTCTATGCAAGTGTCAAGAAAAGTGCCATGTGAGTCTCTGTTACTGACGCTCCTGCACGCAGCAGCACTTATGTTATGGATGCTTAACCATCGTACACAAGTTATGGTACTCGCACTCCGTATTATAGATTATAACCGTTGCATGATTGACAATCGCTGTCTTACGGCACGAATACAGTGTTTACAGTGTAGAACTCGCTTGTGGTGGACTGTCATCATATTTAATTTGACGTGTGAAAACATGCTTTCAGTAGTTTTGTTGTTTTTTTAAACTGGAAATGTTTTGGAAATATATTGTTAAGGTTTTGTCAGCCTTGTTTTCATTCGTGACACATTAAATATGGCGTCTACCCTCAGGTCTGTTGCTTTAGTTAAACTGCCTCATCATGTTAAAATGACCTTTAAACTCCATTAAAAGCTTCTGCAGAATATAAATGTGTGACTCAGTTTTGTCTTGTGATTAATGAATACTTTTTTCCAAAAATAACTATAGCATCATGTAAGAACGTGTGCTTTATTCATAATAATTTATGTATGAATGTGTAAAAACACATACTGGTCAGTTATATATTTCCATACAAGTGGAATATAGATATATATAGATATATATGATTTTATGAGAAAATCCTGTAAAAACACTCATATGGTCTGACACTTCAGGATCGTTTCAGTAGTGCATTTATGATGCTTAAAATCATAATTATTTAACAATATGTCAATGTCAAAGCTTATTTAAATGTATAATACATATATGCATGATGTCACAGCACAATCTTGGATTCTATTGGCTGAGATTAAATTCTTCATATATAGGAACATGCTGCACCTAATTTACAGCAGCAAAACAGAAGTTAGCACAAGAGTCCAAACATAAAAAAAATAACTAATTAGATGTCTATGAACAAATATTAATATTCTGCTACAAAGATTTACACTACCGTTCAAAATTTTGGGGTTGGTAAGATTTTTTGTTTTTGAAAGAAGTCTCTTCTGCTCATCAAGGCTGCATTTATTTGAAAACCGTAAAATTGTTAAATATTATTTTGATTTAAAATAACTGTTTGTTATTTGAATACATTGTAAAATGTAATTTATTCCTGTGATGTAAAGCTGTATTTTCAGCATCATTACTCCAGTCTTCAGTGTCACATGATCCTTCAGAAATCATTCTGATATGCTGATTTGCTGCTCAAGAAACATTTCTGAATATCAGTATTTAAAACAGTTGTGCTGCTTCATATTTTTGTGGAAACATTTTTGTTTCAGGATTCTTTGACGAACAGAAAGTTCAAAAGTTATTTAAAATAGAAATCTTTTGTAACATTATAAATGTCTTTACTGTCACTTTCGATCAATGTGTACTTACTGAAGAAAAGTATTAATTTCTTTAAAAAAAATCTTACTGACCTATTAACAACAAGGCTAAAAAGTATGCATTAAAGCAAGGGTTTTTGTACATCAGCTGACGTGACGTCACATGAGGGAGGGCCGATGCTGTGAGCCGAGGGCAGATTTATCACAGAAAAAGGGCGAGAACACTGGGAGAAATGCTAAAAATGCTTCCATTCATGTTCACACACGTTTCATTCAAACGGTGTTTCAGGTTGTGAAATCAGACTGTGGTTATGAAACTGGAATATTGAACATGTGAACACAGACCAACTGGGGCCAAATCTGCACATTTTCCAAACCAGTTTCCCCTCGACTCCATTTAAGCTTCTTCTCTGACAGCATTCGGCCTTCACCGGCTTGGCTTTCCGAAGGATACATCTGCAAAATAACATTCAAAGTATAAGTTTTATACATTTCCTCAGATAAACAACAGCTTGAAGCGGAGATTTTTTTTAACACACCTTTGGTAGCAGGCGAGGAAGAGCACTATCAAAGCCACGCCCCCTAGGACTGACATCACTGATGCAACAATGGAGGAGGCGGAAAGGGGCGGAGCTGCAGGTTCTGCATATGCAACAAATAATAGCTCATTTATGTGATTAATATGGCATGGATTGATGAAACTGCTGGTTACGGGTGCGGCAGAGGCTGCTCACCGGTGCAGGTGTGACCTCCAGGTGGGTTCAAGCACTGCAGGTGTGGAGGGCAGACAGTGTACTTACTGAAGAAAAGTATTAATTTCTTTAAAAAAAATCTTACTGACCTATTAACAACAAGGCTAAAAAGTATGCATTAAAGCAAGGGTTTTTGTACATCAGCTGACGTGACGTCACATGAGGGAGGGCCGATGCTGTGAGCCGAGGGCAGATTTATCACAGAAAAAGGGCGAGAACACTGGGAGAAATGCTAAAAATGCTTCCATTCATGTTCACACACGTTTAATAGCTCATTTATGTGATTAATATGGCATGGATTGAGGAAACTGCTGGTTACGGGTGCGGCAGAGGCTGCTCACCGGTGCAGGTGTGACCTCCAGGTGTGTTCAAGCACTGCAGGTGTGGAGGGCAGACGGACGGATGAGCGGAACATTCATCAATATCTGAAAATATCCACAAAAAAAACTTTTAATAAATTGTGTGTTAGATGGATGTCAATTTCTACATTAATTTATATTTATATTAAATAAATATTTATTTTATTTAATAGTTAATATTAATTGTTTATTATTTTATCATTAATATTTACCATTTAATTTCATATTTAATAAGTTATTTATATGTCATTTTAATTTAATTTAATTTAAAGAGTGTCCATTAATGTCCAAATGTCCAAAAGAAATGAGTGGAACATTCATCAATATTTAAAATAACCAATAAAAGCGTAGTTCTATTTATTATTTATTTGCTATTAAATAGTTAAATTTATTTAATATTTAATATCAATCGTTTAACATTTTAGTATTAATATTTACTAGTAAATTTAATACTTAATCTTTAAATTTTTAATGTAGTATTTGATATTTAATATTTAGTTTAGTTTAGTTTAGTTTAAAAATGTACATGAATGTCCAAATGTTCAATGTTTTAATAAATTGGGTGTCAGGTGGATCAGTCAAGTTTAATATATATTAGTGCTGTCAAACGATTAATCGCGATTAGTCGCATCCAAAATAAAAGTTTTTGTTTACATATTATATGTGTGTGTACTGTGTATATTTATTATGTATATATAAATACACACACATACAGTATATATTTTGAAAATATTTACATTTATATTCTTATATTTTATATTATATATAAATATATTTAATATATAAACATAACATATGTTTCTTAAATATATACATGCATGTGTTTGTATTTATATATACATAATAAATATACACAGTACACACATATAATACATAAACAAAAACTTTCATTTTGGATGCGACTAATCGCGATTAATCGTTTGACAGCACTAATATTTAATTTAGTTTGATTTGAATATTAATGGTTTAATATTGTTTGATTAATATTTACTATTTAATTTCATATTTATTATTATGTTATTTTACATGCAACTTTTAATGTAATATTTGGTGTTTAATGAAATATTTAATAAAACTAAATATTTAATTTAATTTAATTTAACTTAAAAAATGTACATGAATGTTTCAAAACAACCAATAAAATACTGATATAACCAAAAATAAACAAACATTGTTTTAATACATTTGGTGTCAGATGGATCAGTCAATTTCCAAATTTACTTTGAAAAATACTTACATTTAATTTGTTTTGAATATTTCATTTTATTTAATATTAACTGCGTAATACTGTATAATTAATATTTACTATTTAATTTAATATTTAATGTTATTTTACATTTACTATGTAATGTTTAATGTAACATTAAGTTTAATTAATTAATTCAATATTTAATTGAACTGAACCTTGGCAGGTGGGCGGTTGTGGGGTCCACTGCTGGGTGTTGGGGTCACAGGTGATTTGTGTGGCTCCCTGAAGCAGGTATCCAGCAGGACACTGATACATCACTGCAGATTCACACAGAACAGAGAAACCCAGACTCAACCGCGGGACCGCGCCACAGACCGGGTCTGAAAATGAGAGCCAAATATTGGCAGAATATGAATAACACATGTCAGATAAAAGGATCATTTGATTGTTTTTATTCTTTCGGTCACTAATACCGGTGTCAGGTTCTCTCCACGCTGAGAGGTTCATGTGGCCGATGCGTGCACAGGGCAGCAGGTCGTCGGGGTGGAGTGTGTGCGCGAAGGGGTCAAAGGGCACCAGCCGGATGTGTGTGTTGTCACAGATGATGCGGGACAGAGATGTGGTGCGCAGCGCGTCTCTCTGAGCGGAGCTGAACACACCTTCATTCTGCCACCAGAACCTAAACCGCATTTAATTGTGTACCGACTGACAACTCAACATTGACCCTACAGTATTTGTCTCAAACTAAATAATACTCAAAGGAAATGGAATATCACATTACCTGTCCCCGTCTCGGAGTGCTTTGAACTGTTTGGCGATCAAGCAGGCCAGCAGGGGCCCCACGCGGCCCCCGGGCAGAGCCGGCTCTGAAATGGCCCCGACCCACACGTCTATGTTCTTAGCTGTTCCATAGAGATGCAGCAGCTTCCTGGCCAGAACTCCATTACCCAGAATGCCTGCTAAATCAGACTCATTCACAGGTGCGGAGAGACCGCAGAGCTCTCGCCACACACTGTAACCTGCAGAGAGTGAAATAACACAGGGCAAAATAAAAGTCTAGCACAACATACTCTGATTAAGCTATTAAGTTAGTGAAATTAGTACAAAGTAAATTAGAAAACTGTTATTAAATAGTTTAAATTATAGTGTAGGCAACAAATAAAATTCATGCTTTGAAATTAAAAAAAATATATCGTAATATTTTTAGGTTGAAATAAAAGTCTAGTGTGACATCTTCAGGTTAAGTTAAGATCTCACACATCCAAACTCAGGTTAATAAAGCCAGGCAAAGACTGTACCATCTGCGACAGCTGAGAAAATTCAGGGTTTCGCCAGCAATCCTGAAAACTTTCTATTCAGGGGCCATAGAAAGTGTATCTCAGTGTGGTATGGGAACAGCTCCAGTCAAGACTGCAAAGCCCTGCAGAGAGTTGTGCGCTTAGCTGAGCGCATCTCAGGGTCTGCTCTCCCCTCTCTACAGGACATCTACCTCAAACGCTGCAAAAGCAGAGCTGTTAAAATCATCAAGGACTCCAACCACCCTGGTAACTGTCTTTTCATTTTGCTGCCATCTGGTAAGCGCTTCCGTAGCCTGATGGCAAAAACCGAGAGACTTAGGAGGAGCTTATATAACCATGTATGTGACAAATAAAAAATCTTGAATCTTGAGATTTAGTGTAAGAAAAATTTGTACAATATTAGGAAATGCAATTAGCAAACTATTAGTAAATCGTTCTAAATAAGGAGACAGATAATGTCAGGAAACTTAATTATTTATTTATTTATTTATTTATTTTTATAAGATCAAAGTAAGCAAGCAAGCAAATAAATAAATGAATTAATTCATTAATAATGTGCATATTTATCTTCTTAAGTCATTTAAGTTATTGTATTTTTTTTTTTGCACATTTTTATATTTTTCTAAGTTTAAACATGACAGGAGCTTTAATAAGTTGTAATTGAATCTTTCCTAATGAAGCACAAATATGAAACACTGTATGTTTTTATAAAACAAAAAAATTAGTGAGCTGCCTTCATCAACATAAAAAATAATAATAAAAAAATAGCTTACATGTTTGAAATAAGACCAGAAGTAAATAAAGAAATAAATAAATATCTGCATATTTATATTACGTCAGTTTTAATTTGTACACTTTATACTTTTTCTATTGTAAACATGTCAGGAGTTATAATAAGTTGTAACTGTATCGTTACCTATAAAGAAAAAACTTTTAAATAAATAAGTGAGCTGCATTAATAAACATATAAATTAGATTTTGTTTTTAAATAAATATAATAAAACATATTTAATCCAATAAATGTACAATAAATGTATTTAAATCAATACTGAAACAAAAAGTTAAATCTAATTAAAATGGCCTATTTTAGCAAATATTTCTGTATATTTAAGATTATTGTATTTTCCCAAATTTACTGGAATTAGTTAAGCTAAATCTTGTGGGTAGTGCTATTTTGTAATGTTTTCAGTCACATACTGATTAAAAAAATACCATTTTATCCTATATTTCATGTATTCAATATTTTGCATTTAAACAGACCTGAAAAATACTCAACGCAAGCATGTGAATACAGGTGCTTCTAGCTGAGAAAACTTGATTTCTGTTGCGCAAAAAAGTTGCTCAAACAAATGTAGCAGCCCATTTAAAAAAAAAAGCCATATTATGCTTAGTAGAGTGTTGCGTCATTATGTTACCAGCATATCAGAATCAACTGCAACCATTAGTCGAGTCTCTTTTGCGCTTCAGTATTTCAAATCCCTCACTTATGAGGTTCCATTTCAGTTAGGATGCTCCCTTAGAAGGCAGTTGCCTATGTAGGCCGTAGACAGCGAAGCAGCTCACTATGCTTAACTAATGACAGGCTGCTGACTGGCACCTTGTAGGCCATGATCTCGTCCCCTCTGCAGGTTTAACGCCGCCAGGTCGAGCGGCAGCCCTCCCTGAGCCTGGAAGAGCCTCTCGGTCAGTTCCTCCACCATCATCTGATCTGCTGTCTGCAGTTTAGCCGGGGACAACAGCAAACCACGCAGCACAGGATCAATGCCACCTGCACACAAGAACATTCATTATGCATCATAACGTCATGCTGTTGAGTAAATATTATATATTAGGGCTGTCAGTCGATTAAAACTTTTAATCTAATTAATTACATGATGTGTGTCGATTAATTAATCTAATCTGTGAAAATACCCACAAAAGATTATTTAAAGCTATTTTTGTGTTAAATGAGAAAGTATCAAGTAGACATTACAAATTGTAGCTTTAGAAAGAAATATTTTATTTGATTCAACATAAAATGTATTACACATAAACATTTAGGCTTCAACGGCCTAACATAAACTATAGAACATAAAAGAAGATGATTTGAGAAACATTTCAGTATTTTCTGGTTCACACAATGAAAGTCACTGGTAACCAAAATAGCTTTGTTACCAACAGTCTTCAAAATACCTTCTTTTATGTTCCACAAAAGAAAGGTTTGAAATGACATGAGGGTGAGTAAATGAAGACAGAATTGCCTTTGAAAATCATAACAAGCGATGTCTGACTTTGGAAACTATAAGCAACAGATTAATGAGTTACTCCAAATTTCACAAAAAGCTTATGGACATGATTATAGCCTAATATAAGTCACTCTTCTGAGGAAGATTAATTCACTTGTTTTGCCAATGTGCCCACACAGAGAAATTTTGGTCAGATTTTTGTTCATCCAATCTCATTTTGTAAGTGACTTTTCTTTTTGTTTTAAAGATGTTTTCTTTGGATTGTTTGACTACTCAAAAGAGAACATAGGAGAATATAACTTCATTCATTTGTGTTTCCTGCTCGCTAAATTTCACATCAACAGAAATCTGTCTCTAAACCTCTCTTTTCTTTATTGAGAATTTGAATATTTTGGGTGAACTATCCCTTTAAAGTTTTTATTTTTATTTTTATTATTTTTAATAAATAATAAATATAATTATTATTCTCTAAATAAGAAACTAAATCTGCCAGCAGGTGGCGGTAAATGTCTTTATGAGTCACTCATTCATTCGATTCATTCAAACGGCTGATTCAATCAGTAGCCCCTCACTGCAGAACACAAGATCCAGGGGACGTGGTTGGATCCAGATCTAGGGGGTGGAGATTGGTAGGTTTAGGGGTGGAGATGGGTGGGTTTAGGTACATGTAAGGTGGGAGGAGTTGGATCTGGATCCAACCACGCCCCCTGGATCTTGTGTTCTGCAGTGAGGACCATCTCGATTCAATGGGTCTTTGAATCATTGAGTCACACGATTCGTTCAAAACGTGGATTCATTCAGAAACTAAACACCGCTGTGTTGCTCAGAGACAGGCCACAATTCTGCTGTGGCTTTAAAGGTGTTAAGCTTTAAAATATAACACAATATCAACTTCTTATTTACTGAACTGTTAAAAATCACATTTAAACTCGTGATATTTGGGACAAAATCAGCACTCATGTGATATTGCTCTCCTGCTTGTGTGTTAACGTATTATATATGAGAAAAAAAACTCATACAGGGGCATTTTTTTGCACCAATATCTTACATTTTTAGGGCATAACTGTATTTATGTAGTTGTTGTCCTGCATCATATTTGTCAGCAGTCAACTGTATGAAATGTAAGATGAAGTACAGGTCTGGGGGCGGAGCCAGTGCGTTAACTGCGTTAAAATATTTTAATCGCGTTATTATTTCATAACTAATTAATCTACTCAAAAGAGAATATAGGAAAATATAACTGAATTAATTTGTGTTTCCTGCTAGCTAAATTTCACATACATGTCATAAACATAAACATACATAAACAAAAATATGGCTCTAAATCTCTTTTCTTTATTCAAAGTTGATCTAGCTTATATGTTCCTACTCCGCCAATGTATTAAATGCGCATCCTTGAAAGCGTGTGGTTTTCTAGTCTACATACATATTTAATTGTTTGATCAAAATTATTGCTAGGGACAATTTAGTTGTGGCTGGAAATAGGTAGGAACACGTCCTGAGCATCCCTACTAAATTCTATGCCCTTGCACCAAACATTTACTTCCATCTATATTCTGGAGGTTTTTACAGAGGGGTTTGTTCATATATCATTCACCAAACTTATACATTTAACATTTTATTCCTAAGTTTTATTTTATTTATTTATTTATTTTTTTTGCCATTGACAGTATTTTCTAAATGATAAAAAGAGAAATCCAAAATCCGATCTGTAAAAACCTTATGTCAACTCTAATATGCCAACAAAATGAAACAAGAATTGATCCTGGCTTTATTTATCATTGAGATTTATGTTCTGGAAATGTATGCAAATTAGTGCATATTTAATTAGACAATGGTTCATTTGCATATGTAAACATTTCAGAGAACTTGTAGTACAAAACAGCTGTCTTAAAGTATGGTGATTAATCAACCAGGGAAGCTTGATGATATCTATTAGCTATTTCTTACTCTATTCACATGTAGTGTTTTGCCTTAAGTGTGTGTGTGTGTGTGTATGTGTGTGTGTGTGTGTGTGTGCGTGCGTGTGTGTGTGTGTGTGTGAAACAAACCCTCTTGCACGACTCTCCAGGATGCAAACAAAGAGTGGTGTAATGTGTAGTTGTTGTCCTGCATCATATTTGTCAGCAGTCAACTGTATGAAATGTAAGATGAAGTACAGGTCTGGGGGCGGAGCCAGTGCGTTAACTGCGTTAAAATATTTTAATCGCGTTATTATTTCATAACTAATTAATTAAGTTAATGTGTTAAACTTACAGCCCTATTATACACATACAGTATATTAAGTATAATATTAAGGCAAGACACTACAGGAAAAAAAACAAAAACACTGTTTTCATGCACTGGTTAGTTTAGAGATTTTGGGCTTTTTGCCTACATAACATGTCTTCTTTCAGATTAGTGGAAATAAAACATCCGAAATACAAATGTGTTTATTTTATTGCACTTTATGTATTTGGGTCTGTAAATTTTAATTATAATATACAGTGGGTACGGAAAGTATTCAGACCCCCTTAAATTTTTCAAACAAACCCTCTTGCACGACTCTCCAGGATGCAAACAAAGAGTGGTGTAATGGCAGAGCCGGGTGCTCAGGGCTCAACCGGTAATCAGGTCCGAGGCGGTTCACAACCGGATGCACGGTTACGTGTGCAAACCGAAAGGCAGCGGTGGAGAAAATGTTGGAGATGCTGGGATCAGCTGCGGGGTCGTAAACTTTGTACGGGGGCATGAGGGCCAGGTTAGCACTGCGGCCCAGGACGCGGGGCAAGTAGTGATCCCATGTCAAGATCTTCCAAACAAGATTCAGCAAGTCAGAGACATGCATAAATGAAGTAACCTTTTATTACATTTTTTCAGGTTTTATCTTCTCACCTGGTGGACTGCGCCCAGTATTTTTCTGGCCTCCTGGTACAGCGTGTCCGGGCTCCAGTGTGGGTTGAGCTTGTGAAGCTCCTCAGCCAATCGGTTGTGTTCTCTCAGAAAGAGTGTGTGCAAAGCGATCATACCCAAGTGCTCATTGGCCCGAGAGTCACCTGAGACACGCACACAAAAACAGCTCATCAACTGGCCAGTTTAAATCAGAAAGCATCAGAGTGAAGGCCTAACTGGGACATTTTTGAATAAAATGACACAAATAGTGACTTATTTTCCTTTTTTTCATAGGGTGTTTTAGCTTTAATACCCTTAAAGTCGACATGAAATAAAAATTTAGCAATTCAGCAATATTAACACTATATTGCAAATAAAATGAAATAAAATGTATTGTTGCGCTACAGTTAATTGAATTAATCAATATGATTAAATTTTTTATAAATATTTACTTAATTTGAAATATTGTTTTTAGTTTAATTTTGCACCACTTGTCATAGCGTTTTTTTTTTTAAGTTTAAAGCTTTATTCATCCCTTTGAGTCTATTATTTATGACTACAGTGGTGCTTCACATAAATAGAGAACATTATACTTATATACCTACACTTAAAATTAAAATGTATTGTTGCTCTATGACTAATTTCATTATTTAATATTATTTAATTTTTAAAATTATTTTATAATTATTTTATTATTTAATATTTTATTTATTAATTTAATAATATTTATATATGATATTTACTTAATTTGAAATGTAGTTTTACTTTAATTTTTCTATTTTGCACCATTTCTCATTGTATGTAGTATGTACCATTTGTCATTGTATGCAAACGCTTTAGCAATAAGAATGCAATTGCTTTTGTCAGGCTAATAAAGCACACTGAATTTAATTTAAATTAAGGGAGGAAAATCAACAGCATGAACTTAAATCAATTAAAATGGCTAGTAATACTATCATTGCAAGCTGATTATATTAAGAATTTTACATTGTTTACTACATGTACTAGAGTTTATGCTGCATCAGATGACGGCCTATATTTTTCTCTTGTTTGACCCATTTTACATGATTATGGAAGCAAAATGTGTTGCAAATGCTGTTACATGTTAACTCACAATGAATGATATCTGAAAAATACTCAGAAAAATGCCTACAACCTGCTTGGAAACAGAACGATCTGTTCCCCATGGATATGTTGAGTCTTTGCGCTGTCTCTGATAGCGGGATGTGGTCGATCCGCTCTCGTGGGCCGCAGGGGTCCAGGTTCATCTGCGTGCGTGTCAGGAAGGGCATGAAGCCGAGCCCTTGGTCTGAGTGGAACTGGTTGACGGCGAGCAGGCCGAGAGGGGACGAGAGGTTTCTGAGGGCCACGCTGAGCCCATCCGAGCTACCGTACACCATGCTGGCGTCCACGAATGCTGTTATAGCGTTCAGCTGCTCCCGGTGACCGAGTGGAACCGTACAGCTGGGAGCAGAGCGGAAAAACGGCATGCAGCTCTGAGTCCCTGTGCGAGGATCGGAGAGAGGGATCTGAACGTGAAGAAGAAGGAACAGATGTTCAGAGTGTGTATGATCTGGCATCTGTTTTCAGTAGGGCTGCCTTTTCTGGTCGACTAGTAGTCGTTCATTTTAAGCATTAGTCGACTAATCGCACGCTTATTAAAGGGATAGTTCACCCAAAAATGAAAATTCTGTCATTAATTACTCACCCTCATGTCATTCCAAACAAGTAAGACCTTCGTTCATCTTTGGAACACAAATTAAGATATTTTTGATAAAATCCGAGAGCTCTCTGACCCTCCTATAGACAGCAAGGATCCTAACACGATCAAGGTTCAGAAACGTAGCAAGGACATCGTTAAAATAATCCATGTGACATCAGGGGTTCAACCGTAATTTTACAAAGCTATGAGAATACTTTTTGTGCGCAAAGAAAACAAAAATAATGACTTAATTCAACAATTCATCTCCTCTGCGTCACCCTATAGCACCATTTTGGAGAGTATCACATTCGTAAACAACGTATGCAACGTATGTACGTGGATAAATTTTTTACGCTCTGATCTGAACGTTGTTTACGTATGGAGGAACCAAGTCTGGTTTCCGGAGATGATCCAGCTGCTATCTGCAGTGCCGTGGTCAATACCACTGAGGAGAGACCTTCTCCCGCAGGCGCAGGGCAAGATTTGGCATCCCCAGCCAGAACTGTGGAACCTTCATGTCTGGCCACTCGACGGGAGTCTAGCCAACTCCCAACGAGAGTCACGAATACCATTTTAGAGGCTAGAGCTCCATCTGCAAGGCGCCTCTATGCCCTCAAGTAGTCAGTCTTCAGTGACTGGTGTTTAGCACGGAACCAGGATCTGGTATCATGTGACGTGTCCCACGTGCTAACCTTTTTGCAGGAGCTGCTGGATAAGGGACCCCTTCCACGCTCAAAGTCTATGTGGCGGCTATCGCGGCGAATCATTCTCACAAGACCTGCCGGACAATTGGCAGGAACGACTTGGTTGTTAAGTTTCTTAGAGGCGCTCGGCGGTTAAACCCTCCTCGCCCTAGGACGGTGCCAGTATGGGACTTGTCTATAGTCCTGACAGCTCTCAAGAGCTCCCCCTTTGAGCCGCTTCAAACAGCCGGCTTAAAGGGGTCATATGATGCTGCTAAAAATAACAGTATTTTGTGTATTTGGTATAATGAAATGTGTTTATGCGGTTTAGGGCTCAAAAAACACATTATTTTCCACATACTGTACATTATTGTTTCTCCTCTATGCCCCGCCTTTCTGAAATGCGTCGATTTTTACAAAGCTCATCGGTCTGAAAAAGCGAGGTGTGCTGTGATTGGCCAGCTATCCAGTGCGTTGTGATTGGCCGAATACCTCAAGCGTGAGACGGAAATGTTACACCCCTCTCTTAACTTTTATAAAGAATATCTCTTTGGATTTGAGACTTTAGTCTTTGCAACTTTACAGATCTTCTTTATGCACCAAGAGCTTGTAACACTCCAAAGAGAAAGGAAAAATTGAAATCGCATCATATGACCCCTTTAAGAATCATGACACTCAAAACCGCTCTGCTTTTGGCCCTGGCATTAGTCAAGCGAGTACAGGACTTGCAAGCCCTGTCTGTCAGTGCTTCCTGTCTTGAGTTTGGACCCAATGACTGTAAAGTCGTTCTTCAACCGCGCAGCGGTTATGTACCGAACGGATGTATGGAACGGATGGTGAACAAGGTCCCAACTTGTTATGCCCTGTCTGGGCACTGCGAGTTTACATTAAGCACTCAGAGTCTTTCATACAATCAGAGCAGCTTTTTGTGTGCTTTGGAGGTCACTCTAAAGGGCTGCCTGTCACAAAGCAAAGACTAGCTCATTGGATAGTAGATGCTATAGCTCTGGCTTATGCCTCAGCTGGCTTGTAGAAAGTGAAGTGTGTAGTGTGAGGGCCCATTCCACCAGAGGAATGGCCTCCTCTTGGGCATGGTCCAGTAGAATCTCTATTGGGGAGATTTGTGCATCCACCGGCTGGTCGTCGCCGTCTACCTTTATTAGATTCTACAATTTGGACATCCCTGCCCTGCAGGCGCGGGTATTATCCGCCTAATGCTTACTTTTTTCTTGAGAGTTATCTCAAGTAGACCTCAGAACGTTCTCGGGTCTCTTTGTGGCTCAGGCTTATGGACCCCTCGTTAAGTGTTCCTGGGCTGAGCTCGCGGAGCAGGCTAAGTTCTGCATCTGCTTATAGCATGGCACTACTGGATACGCTCCCCGAGCAGTCGTCAAACAATGATGCACCGGGTGTTACCTTTTGATAGGGAACGCTCCGGTTACTCACATAACCTCGGTTCCCTGAGATAAGGGAACGAGCGTTGCGTAACTGGCCATGCTATAGCTGCACGCGAATCGATGGCTGTCGCTTCAGTCGTATGATTCTGATGAGATGGCGCACCGAGCCGACTTATATAGCAGTCGGCGCCGCCCCTTCTGGTGGGCTCGAGCGCCATTGGTTTGTGCAGCTACACAAACGTTAACCAATCAGGCTTCAGTAATAGAGTAAACAGGAGTTCCCCCCAAGCAGTCGTCAAATGACGACGCAACGCTCGTTCCCTTATCTCAGGTTACATGAGCAACCGGAGCGATTTCCTACATAGCCTAATAAGCACTCAAGCACATGCATAAAGCTTGGCACAGCACACCGGCAGAAGTAATGATTACGAATGTGTCGGAAAAAACAGTAAGGAGGCTGCATTAACATTTTAATAATTTATTGATAAACTAGCGTTTTCATTGTTTTTGGCTTAAGAGATGAAGTCTGCAACACCGATTCGTCATCTCCACAGTAGTGGACGAGCCTGTATGCATGTTTAATACGGATTACATAATTTGAGAATATTTGTTTTCAATTTGAATTGGTTCATTTGAAAGTAGACATTTCACTCTATTATTATTTATCTATTTTTCATGTCTGTAAGGCAAGTATACACGGAGTTTCAGAGTTTCACGCTCACATTTTCAAGCCACAGCCATATCACCCTGCAGCCCAAGACTGGTTGCCCACTGAAGCTAAGCAGGGTTGAGCCTGGTCAGTACCTGGATGGGAGACCTACTGGGAAAACTAGGTTGCTGTTGGAAGAGATGTTAGTGAGGCCAGCAGGGGGTGCTCACCCTGTGGTCTGTGTGGGTCCTAATGCCGCAGTATAGTGATGGGGACACTATACTGTCAAAAAGCACCATCTTTCGGATGAGACGTTAAACCGAGGTCCTGACTCTCAGCGGTCATTAAAAATCCCAGGATGTCTTTCGAAAAGAGTAGAGGTGT